GCAGGTCTCGAACCCGCGGGCTCAGGCAATCCACTCACCTCAGCCTCCCAAAGGCGCGGGATGACAGGCTGAGCCACCGAGCCCAGCTTAAAATGCCTTTTTCACCCATGCATTTCCTTTCACCATTTTTTAGTGATTTGGGATTGCAGAATTCTTTAGCAGTTTCCACTGAGTCAGTGGAAATGGAAATGGCAATATTAAGTCATTTGTGTGAATAAATTTTCTGCATCAAAACCTGCTTGGACAAGGTGCTGGGATTCCCTCAGGAGCTTGCTATATCCCAAATGCACTAAGCTTCACCATCTAATCCTGGGTGTTCCCCTGTTCTCCTGGAGCTGGCATTATCCAGAAAAGCATCATTGCTATTTGTATTTTCTTCTTGAACATTAGCATTGACAAGAGTAGACGCTAATGCAATTATGTTGGTCCCTGAGTGCCAATGGTAAACTTCTCCAAAGCCATTTAAATTAATCTAGAAGGCAAAATGTTAACAAGTCAACATTCTGAATAAACGGGGGAAATTTGTATACTAAGCACCACTCCATCTTCAAAACTGGGCCTAATAACTGGAATAGCAATATGAAATGTGGCTTGGTTTGAAGGTAATATTGGATGACATGCTTGGTCTGACCAAGTCAGCAATTAAATATCAAAATAAAACGTCGTTAAAATTGTTTTCTTGACTTCATTTTGGTGGAACACAATTCTACAGAGCGTATTTAAAATTAGGAAGCTTGTGTGTATTTAGCCTAATTAAATATTTAATCAAATGTCATCTACCTATTATTTCCACTCTACAATTTTTGTAACACCTGGAAGAGTTAGCTAATTTTTAACATTTCTGTTGACTTACTCAGAATTGAACATTATTGTTTTATGCCTCTATCAGTCTTCTGGTTGCCACAAAATGTCTCCCTCTCTCATCACCTTCAGCTTTGCAGGGAAAACCAACTGGAATTAGTAACTCAACAGTATTTAAAAGCTCAGCTGACCTGTATGAAAAGCTTAGGACATATCCGAGTTGAAAAATAAAATTGCTATGCTGTGTTGTGATTTTCACATATTTCCATTTCACTCCCTGAAACAATTTTTCATTCTTAATCAAAAGAAAAATGTGAAAAGATACATTATATAAGATGGTAGAATAGGGACAGGACACAAGGAAGAGGCCATTTAATTAAAAAGTGTAAGATAAATAGACTGTAAAATTCATCTAGTCTTATATAAAAATAGTCTGCTTGGCAGGACTGAGTGATGATTTAGGTTAACACATGAATTTCCAGGAGAGAGAAAACAGCTTTGAATCTTATTATCAGCTTTTTTCCACTTTTATTACTTTTAGTTTCAAGATTACAGGCTATGTAAATTTTTTTTGAAAAGGAAGAAGGAAAGAAAGATGAGGATAAGAAAGAAGTCAGTCATATAGGTGAATCATGGCAGATTGCAATCAAAGAATATTATTCTAGTTGGTTGGTATAATAGTAAATGGATAAGACCATATCATTCAATAATTTATCAAATTGTTTCAATAGTGATTAGGACCCAAAAAATGTCTGGACTGTGGCTTCAGAATATTTGAGCCAGATTTATGATAACAGAGAACGTGGAGATAAATTTTGTTATGTTTGCTAGGGGACATTGTGAGGCTATCTTTGCCTTGTTTGTTCCTTTGAGTTGTTTGTGGTTGGTCCACTTTAATTATCTGTGTTTCTATGAAAGATGAAATATTACATTGTTAATTATGGAGTTTTCAGCTTCATAATGAATTTTATCTAATTACTTTTGACTGTACATGTTTCCTGTGCCCTTCAAATTCTACATTTTCTGGTGGAATTTGGGTACATTGAAAATGCTAGATTATAGGATATAACTGAACTCTGCATCCACTGTGAAAAGTGGACTTTGTTTTCCCTTAAAATAGCTGGGATTGAAAACACAAAGTTTGGTGTCAAGTCTTTGAATCTTGGGATTTATATACTGAGAAGCATCTCATGTATTTTCCAGTAAACAAGAGCATTTCAAAAGCAAGGTGCTGTCCTTCCCTATTACCAGCAGGGCCTGGTTCACCTGTGATCACAGTTTGATTAAGTAATAATAATTTTTAAAAGCGCCTGGGGACAGGACAGTCCCATCAGCCTTGGTTTAGAGATTTTAATTTTGGGGGGAGGGGGGACAGGGCAGGAGTGGTAGCAT